AGTGCATGCATGTCAGTGAAACAGCCCTAATAAAACGGAAATATAATCGAGGTCAGAAAAAGAGCAAATTACGTCTGAGTGCTTATATTATATTATACAGCTTTACGAAAGGGATTTATTGAACGAAATGAAACCTGACTGGAAATCATCAATTTTAATCCCTATAATTACCAGGTTGGTGAAGCTAGGATCCACAATGCATACTGATGAATGGAGTGGGTACAACAGTTTATTCTCACTTGGATATATTTACTATAAAGTCAACATTCTATGGAATTTGAAGACCTCACTACTGGTGCTAATAATAATTCAAAGGAACAAGGAGAAAGGTATTAGAATGAATAGGATTTAAGAGAGAGCGAGAGCGATAGACAGACAGGATCATAAAGGAAACATCTACATCGGATACAGTTGAAAAACCGGAAGATGATAAGTGCAGAGAAACTAGGATGTTCATATTAATAAATACGATAGAGTCCAATGGAAATGAATAATTATGAATGCAAAGTAACGACGCAATAAAAAAACACAAACATATTATTATTATTATTGTTCTCTTGGTCTTCTGCAACACACCTCCACTTTCTTCTACTTTCTGCTGTCCTCTTCGGCTGTGTCCACGATTGCTCATAAGCTCTCATCTCCTCTGCTCACGATATCCTCCATGTCACCTTCGGACGACCGACTAGTCGTTCCCCATTGGGATTCCACTCTAGTGATGGCCTACATTGTCCGCGATGTTATTCGACGACCCCTCAACGTATACCCGATCCATCTCCATTCTCTCCTACATATTTGCGCGATCAGCTGTTGGTTGGTTTGTTGCCTAAGTTTCTTGTTGCTAATTCTTTCTGGCCAACCGGCCATTTTTGATCTTCAGTATGGAGCCAGCGAAGGCAGGTGTTAACAAAAGTCTGAAACTGTCAGTGGTGGTATGTCAGGGCGAGTTGCAGATGATGGTCGATTCAAGAGTCGTTTGAAGTGATCAGCCCATGGCTTTATTTGTCTCCCTCCCCACTTGGTAATCAGATTGGTTTCATCATCTGGGTTGATCTCTTCCTGGATAGAGACCTAGTTTTCTGATGTAATGTTCTGACGTCTGTTTTACCTGCCACCTGCCTACATGCCTGCCTGTTCTCATACAGTTGTCGGCCATTGTGTTGCAGAATTGTCTTTTGTCTTTCCTCGTGATCTTTTTAACTTCTTTATTCAATGTGATGTGCATTGAAATCAGCTTCTCCTGCTGTTCGCCATCTTTACATTCAGTCATCTTCTACTTCACTATCCTCCTCTCCTACCTTCTATTAGCTTCCAGATAGGTGTTCGTGGAGAGTCATTCCTAGTCTTGTCCAGTCCCTTGGTCTTGATGGAATTCCTGCTGTTATCCTTAAGAAGTGTGCTGACATCTTATGTTACCCATTAACCGACATTTTCAATGAATCTTTTTCCAAAAGTATTATTCCTGACTCATGGAAAAATATCAAGGTTGTTCCAGTGCCTAAATCAACAAGTGGACCTACTGTTAAGTTTCGACCGATTGCTATTACCTCACCTTTTTCAAAAGTTATGGAAAGACTTATTTTACTTAATCTTGAACCCTCTTTGAAGCCTTTTAATGACCCCAACCAGTTTGCTTATAAACATAGCAGGTGTACCTTAGATGCCGCTGTTGTTCTATACCATAATATAGTCTCTAGTTTAGATAGAGGAGCCAAATATGTTCGGTGTGCCTTCCTTGATTACACATCTGCATTTGACTCTGTACCTAGGTCTCTCTTGCTAAGTAAGCTTGCTGCAACACAGAGTGAGAGCTGGACAAATAAGTGGTTGCATTCCTATTTTTCTGATAGGAAGCAGTACACCGTCTACAATGTAAAGTCCTCCACTACCTCACTTACTTTAGCTGGTGTTCCTCAAGGTGCTGTTCTTTCTCCTTTTCTGTTTTCTTTTTTCCTACATGACTTGCCCCATTCTGATGTAGCCACTTTTGTCAAGTATGCTGATGACCTCTCTGTCTCCATGCCTGTCAACTCTCTGTCAGACTGTTCCAAATTAAATAACTGTCTCTCGGAAATTAGTCAGTGGTCCTCTTCAAACGGTCTCAAGCTGAATCCGTCTAAATGTCAGGTAGTAAATTTCACTTTCAGACGAAAACGTGACCTACAGAAACTAGCTAGCTCACATGGTCCCACTATCATTGACGTCATAGAGGTTGAAACTACATTTAATGTCAAGTACCTTGGACTGAGTATTTCCTCCGATCTTTCCTGGTCCTCTCACATCTTACTAGTTACTAGAAAGATGTTTCGCTTAACGTTCTACGTTAGGAAGTTAAGGCAGTCTGGTGTAAAACAGTCTTTGCTTTCTCAGTTTGTCAATTCTTGTATTCTAACCATCCCTCTTTACTGCTCCCCATTAATCTTTCCTGGACTACTTCAGAAAGACTTTGCTTTGCTGCGTAGGGCACTAAAAGCTGTTAGTAGGGGAAGTGGGATTTCGATAAACCAACTGGTTAACACCATTGTGGATAAACATATAATGTCATATAAGAAACTAGCGAATTCTATATTGTCAGACCCCGAACACCCTCTCTATACTCAGCTCTCTCCTTGCATTTCATCTGGTAGAACTAGAAGCAACTATAGGAGGCTATATGCCAGGACTACCAAGTACAAAAACTCCACAATACCTTATCTGGCACAGCTGTTATGTGATGAGAAAACTGTTAGGCACGACACGATCAACTTACTGCGGCACTCTAACAAATAGTTCCCATTAGCTTTTGTTCTCCTTTCTTTGTTACTATTATATTGTTGCTCATATATTCTATTACACACTAATTTTATATTTCATATCCTGTGGTGCAATGTTAAAAAATGTAAACGCAATGCTGTTCTTTTTATTTCTTTTCGGTTGTTGCTTTTTATTTTTAAAATCTTATAAAATTTATGAGGTAATTAGACGCGATATTGTAATGCACGCTGAAAATTCCATACCTGTACCACAAATACTGTTTGGAATAAAGCTATTATTATTATTAAAAAAATAATAGTAATACATCAGTATGAACAGCAGTATTCAAAGTGAAAAGTCAACAAAACATTCAGATCTCAAAACGAAATGAATGAACACAGGGAGGTGAAGAGTTCATCTATGGTTTGCCTGACTAACCAACTCTCACACTGCACCCGTTTAAAAGAGATTCGAGCACGATGATTCTCCTTGATTATAGAACGAGATTCAACTACACCTTAGTTAAAACTTCAGACAGGCATGAAAATTTATGTATCAGTGTTATTAAATCCTAGAAGAGTGTTGAATAAGAGATAATGGAATACAGCGTAATTGTTTCCTTCTTCTATTTTGAACGATTAAGCTGGAGGTTATGTGACAACGAAGATTGATAATTCCTGCACAGTTAAACAAATGACATTAGGCTGCAACATTTAATGCATAGCGGATAAGTCATTTTGAAAGAATTATTATTTCGGACAGATGGATACATAATTGTTAAATGTAAATTGCATCTTTTTAGAATGTAAGTTAAGGAAACATATTCTTCTTCATTGTCCTTTGATACTGCTTCTTTCATGTTTAACTTTGTACTACTTACCATTCATAAGTAGTATACGTGTGTGGCTATAATGATATCACCACTGGCAACCAAGTGTCTTAATGCAGTGGGTACTAATCACTCGCTGCAGGATTATGCCAACAAGATGCAACTTAGAAAGACAGAATGAAGGAAAGAAGGAAGGTTACAATCATCCAATGCTACACAAAGTGCTACAAACAACGCGGAGGAAGAGAAGAAGGAAAACTTCCACAGACAACTTCAAACAGCACTAGACAACATCCCGAATGGCGATATCAAAATCCTTATCGGCTATACGAATGCAAGTCAAACTGAGAGCAGAAAACACTGCAAGAGAACTCTTCATTAGTCAAGAGGCTCTCGTTCAGCGAAATGAATGATAACAGAGATGCCTTCAATGATTTGGTGTTTTGAGACAGCGTGTATAAGCACACAAGAATACACACAAGGTCAGTGACATGAACTTCACCTGACGAACACACCTAAAACCGGATAGATTTCATCTCAATGCTGTTCAAGGAAGTGGAGATGCAGATAGTCTGCTGGACACGAATTCGAGAAGCGGAGAAGATGTGGGCTCACAACATCATCTAGCTCAAACAATCCTCAACGTCAATCTGAAAGCGTTCAGAACCACTGCAGACCGACGACAATTCAAGTTCAACACACAGAAGCTGAGCTGATGGACAAAACTACAAGGGATCCCTTCACCAGACACCAGATCAGATCAGACCAGAGCGCGGTCGGAGACACTACGGGAGTCATAACATATGCAGGGATACATATGAAGGATTTATTAAGCATATCAACATCAACAGAAGTATCATTCATTACTTGCTTACCACCTGTGATTTCCTTTAATAGCTTCCACATATTAGATGAGGATTTACATGAAAGAAACTTCTGGTTATAGAGAGCACTTAGTCTTTGTAATTCGGCTTTAATCAAAGTGTTCATTCTCTTAACACCAGATTTATTTTTCATTTTGTACAACCTCTGTTTTTCACGGCGAAACTTTTTGAGTTGAGAAGAGGAGAAGCGGTCGAAATTGAGGAAGATTGTCTCTTTTGGACAACAAACATCAAGACAGAAATTAAGATAATGTGTTATGTTACTAACTGTGTTATCGAGAGCTTGTTCAGTAAACAAGTCCCAGTTTGTGTATTGCATACATGTTATTAAGCGAATAAAATTGACAGAAGTACAACTAATGTCTTATATTTAATTCATTCATCATCTATAAAAATATGAAATAACAGAAATAAATGACAACTGATTCAGTTTTAAGAGTATGTCTTACTAAATAACATTTCAAAAGAAGATAAGAGAAACTGGAATTCAATGAAATTTCACATTAACAAAGAAATAGATCAGCTACATGCTAGAAAGACAATTCTAATATTTAACAAAAATGTTCCTGATATGAAAGAAAAATACACAGTCAAACTAAAAGAACTATCAACACTCCTTCACCTTGAACTTTAGTTGTTCCCCCGTTTGAAAAGTTCGATTTTCGGGCATGTGACAGTCCAGTTAGCTGTCAGAAGTTGATTTGCGTAAATTCCATCAATACAGACTGAAAAAGATTGAGAAGAAAGAGTCATGTGAGACGATCGTCAGAGAAGTCGACATAAAAATCCCAATGAGATGATTGGTTCACTTTTAATGCGACTTGAATTGCAAAAATCACCTGCCTGCCTGCCTACACGAGTAAATTATGTACACTGATGTGAATTTGTCGTGGAATCAATTGATTGTAAAGATCTTCTATTATTACTAATAGTCTTCCGCATACAAAACATCTAGAAAATAGCCGTGTAATTTGAATCATCACGTTCATTGAGATGATATTTATGATCATTCTTGTCGAGAAAAAGAATCATGTGGTCAGATATTTCTTCCCACAATATTTCAAATGCAGACAAACTAACCTTCTGCACGTGTATCTTGGATTTCTCAATATTTTAATGAATTCTTTGGAGAGTATGGTGTTTATTGATGAATAACAAGGATTTTGAAGGACTGTTTACTTCCAAAGATGTTATTTTAGCTAAACATGACTTTCAGCAGTGTAATCCAGGTAAATCTATCACGCAAGCGTCATGCTGTTCACTAATCACTCTTTTTGCACACTGAGCGCATTTCAAGTCATTAATGAAAGCCAGTTTACATTATCACACAGTTGCCGTTTGTATCACCACAGACTCAGAATGTTCAACTGTTTTACAGTCTTTATTATTCAATGCAGATTATTTGAATACTTTCAAGTCCAATAACAGGTGCTTTTTCTTTGAAAAAACGGAAGTCTGATGCTATCATTTGATTTTCAACAATCATAGAATAAAGAAGCTAAACATTTCGAATGAACGAATATCCCAAGACAACAAATCTGTGGGAAGTCGACAAGGTCGAACAACATGACGTCTCTTAGACTAGGAATGACACACTACATATAATGATTATATATATGCTTTTGATATTATGTCGCTTACCTTTCCACTGCCCCAACACACTAAGACTGCAAGACGACTCAATAGTTGAATTGTCATAGGATCCCGTCAATGAAATCCAAGGTAAGACACTCGCAGTGATTATTTGTGCTGAAGCATTCAGAATTCTTTGATACTCAAATGAATTGACTACAATCCATTTTAATCCAAAGTTCAGGCTCTTTAATGCCCCTCCACCGTTGGCTCCCAAACCGAGCAGGGCACCTGACGAATTGTCGTATGCTAAGATTTGTGCGACACTTGGTCCCATATCTGGTAATTTATCGAAATATCGGTAGATAATATCTTCAAAATTTAGCTATAACTTTTCAAGGTAAATGCCTGAGAAATACCTGACACAAGTGAGTATGTCATTGCATTACAGACCTATAGAACCAAAGATCTTAAATATGAAGATCTACCCTGATAATTACTAGTAAAACCAGCCATTAGAAAGAGAGGAATCAGTGCAGTGTAATGACTTTGCATCTAGTAAAAAATCTATCCAGATAAATGCCTTCGTAGGTGAGAAGTGGATCTAGAACCATCCTGACCAGGCGATGTTGAAAGAATTAAAGCAAAAGTATCGATTCATGAAGAGGTGCAAAGTGTTAGTCAAGTAATGGTCAAAAGTTGTGGATACCAAATTTCTGATTGGCATATATTATTAAACTGTCCTCATTTCACCCTTAAATTGCTCTTTTCTATTTCAAATGACAATTTTGTTTTATTCTCCTGTAGCTGTTTAACGTTTCAATATGATGTGCATTTCTGACTGGTAATCTCTATTAATAGGGAAGAGTAGTGACTTCCTTAATCGAACAAGTTGTTCTAACTCAGGACGACAACGACGACAACGACTAATACATCCGAAAAACTATGTGCTGTCGATCGTTTCCAGTCTCGAACTCTGTTATACGAATGACTGGTGAGTAAATACTCACATACTGTTATCGACATAACCGAAACAAAAGCTTGCATAAAACTTCACTGACATCTACTCATTTGAAAGGCAGCACTATCAAATAATAATGCACTGATTTCAGCATTAATTTATTGATTGATGAATAATACAAAGTTTAAATGTAGGATGTCAAGAGTCAATGAACAAAATTGTATCACGTATGCGAATTGGTCTCATGCGTATAGTGTCGAGTTGTTTTTACGGGTGTCAATCTTCATGTGAACGCCAATATTTGCTTCTACTTTGCTCCTCGGTCATGTACAGTCTGACAGTGAAAGTATTTTGGCCAAGGTATACGTCTAAATATCAATACTGGGACTGGATGTAACTACTTAAATGACCTGAAGCCATCATGCCAATGTAATTTTGTCGCTCAGCAAACTTCTGCACCTTTGTATGGGTATTTGAGACAGAGAGAGCAGGAAAATGAGAGGCAAAGGAACTGGCAGTGTAATGTAGCACAGAAGTCCGAATTATCGTAGGAAGATATTGTATGTTAGAAATCCAGTTATCCTTCAACACATACGTGTACGTATTCTGGAATTTTTGCAGAATGCACGGTTTAATTGAACGAAGATGATAAGAATGAATCATGCGTATGTGTCTCACTAACTTAAAATCGCTGAATTACGTTTCTTTTTTTGTGTGTGATAGAAATGTGCGAGAAAGATGCTTCAATCGCAGCCTTATCCATATATCCTACTTTGTCTGATGATAAAGTGAACTAGATCAGATTCCAGTGGAAATAAATAACAACAAAGATGGATTGTTTTTCAAGTATTGGTTTGTATGGATTTGATTGATTGGTGATAGGATTTCATCATACTGTGAAGAGTCTCAAACTAGGACGAAACAGCCGTCCAGTACTCCCAGGTTTTCTAATGGTTCTCTAACCGATGGCAGCTCATGATGAAATCCTGTAACCAAACATGGGTTGAATTTACCAGCAGTGAACAGAGAATCTGAAGAATAACAAAATCACTCACCTGACCATATTCTTTGGGGTAATGGACTGATCATGAAGCATCGTCTTTGCTCTTCAAACGATAACTGCCAATTAAGCACACGGCCACAATAAAAAAGTCGATCACCAACATTCAGAAATGTAGTCAGTCGACTACTCAACAACGGTACTTTGGGATTCTTCATTGCAATATAATGGGGTAAGTCGCATGGATCTGCAAATAAGAAATCACGTATGTTTTCATGAATCGAATGATGATGAAGAGTCGAATGCAGTATTGACCTATCCACCTTACACAAATACTTAATACGAAGATGTATGTTTCCCTAGAGTAAGGTTATTAGTATTTACTGGAATCAATATACTGCATATAATGTCTACAGTGAATGCACTTATAATAAGAAGAAACTTGTGCGACTGGCGAATGTACACAACTTCCACCTATTCAGTACAAATGAAGAAATCTATGTAAAACATTGTTCATATATTCTGCATGGAATTTAGTTTTCCAGTGTGCATTATTGACCATAAAATGACAGAAAGACTTCAGAATCGATTGTCTGATGAAACCCTATGGTGGAAATTTTTTTTCATAAAACACATTTCAGTATTTTTCGTTGAATAGAACTTAAGTCAAGTCAAGATGCTCAAATCTTTCCATGTGTCATCATATCATCATTGCTTACATTCAGTGCTCCAAACAAACCGATTTTAGAAGTGGATTAATTCACACTGAGCCGAGTATATTTACATCCTCAGCACGCCGCCATCTACTAGTATTATTATTATTTGTTCCCTTGGGTTCCTAGTGGAACATAGGGCTTCAACTGCATGTCTCCACTTGCTTCTGTCTTCTGCTGTACTTTTCACTTGCATCCATGTTAATCCATACTGTTTCAGCTCTTCTTCACACGATCTCCTCCATGTTACGCTTGCACCGACGTCCCACTCGCCGCTTCCCTTTCGGGTTCCACTCGAGCACTGGCCTGACGCGCGATGTCACCCAACGATGTCCTCAGCGAGTGTCCAATCCATCTCCACTTTCTCCTGCATATTTGTTGAGCGATTGGTTCTTGTTTTGTTTCTTCCCATAGCTTCTTGTTTGTGATTCTTTCCGGCCATCTGATCTTCAGTATAGAACGAAGACAGCTGTTGATAAAGGTCTGCAACAGGCTGTTGGAAATATTCTTTGTGACCCGCCAAATTTCTGATCCGTATAGAAGAACTGACTGACTTGACGTTTGTATTGAGAATCTGAATTTTGTTGTTGAGTGTTGCTGAGTGACGAAGATCTCCAGATTGGTTTCAGGTTGATGAATGTGTTTCTCGCCTTCCCGATTCTCGCTCGATTTGACATCCTCGTCCGTTCCTCCTGTAGTTGAGACAATGCTCCCTAGATAAGTGAATGAAGTAACCTCTTTCAAATCCCTCCCGTTGATGGTGATTGGCGCTGGATGTTGCTGCTGTTGTTGTTGTTGTTGTTGTTGGTTATTTTCATAACCTCCGTCTTGTCTATGTTCACCTGGAGTCCTGTCTTCTCTGGCTGCTTCTTCGACCAGTTTGTCGGTTTTCGCTTGTAAGTCTTCGATTTTGTGTGACATCAAACATAAATCATCCACGCGCGAAATCCAGGTCTTCTAGGTTCTTCACGTCGGTCAGGACAGGATATCCCTGTCTTCTCGTTTCCCACTGTCTGACGACGCATAATCCAGTCTGTCCACCACAATTAGGAATATCATTGGTGATAATAAGCACCCTTGTCTGACTCCTGTGTTTACTCCAAACGCCTCGCTTGGAGTAAACACATCTGCTAGAGGCGACGAAATTTCTCTCATTTCACCCTATGAGGTCATTGTGGATTATGCACTTTTGTTTTGTTCGAATAATAAAATTTATTTGTGATGAATAAATAAATATATCCATGAAAACTCACAAGTATGCATACGGTAGTCGATTTCAACGCTTATTGGAGACATGAATCTGAAGAATTTTGACTTCTTACATCTATTTGTGAAGGCACTGCTACGCTCGTAGGGTTTGCATACAACTTCAACCAGGACAGGAAGTTTGACGACAGGAGGACGAAGAGATTTTGGATATTTCACTTGAAATACAACTGAATATTTCTGACCGAAATATAAAGGACCAACCTATGGAAAAAAGAATCAATAACTCTTCTGATTAGAATATACTTAGCAAGAGGATGGATAACTGCGTGAATGGTAGTCGATAAAGAAAGACTCTGAATAATTTACGCTAGAAATTAGGTGATATAAAACAAAATGTGAAATTTAGTAAATTGTTCATGTCATGGATGGATTTCTGAAAGGATTCATCATTTAGGTGTTCCATAGTTTCTCCTTACTTACATGGAATAATTGAATATCAACCTTAAGATCTACGAGATCCTCATTATCAAGGTGGTATGGAAACAATTTTTGTTAAATCAGTACACTATTATCTGTAAATTCAAATTATTGCCATAATCAATGTGCATGAACAGTTGGGATTTCAAAGATGACAAATCCGATTTTCAAAACAAGTTACATATATAATCTCGAAATTATTTTATGAGTCCTCGAATTAATTTATCCACTTGTCAGCTGCCTTGGTGCATCTACAGAATCCCATCTCTCGTTGATGATCTGATGATTCGAATTATTCTATACACCTTAGCACAAACACGTGTTAAAATATTCGAAGGTGCCTGGTTTTTTTTGTTTGTCTGTTTTCAGCTATCGATCAATAAACCATACGCGCGAAAAGAGAGTTCCACCCCCTTATTCGGAAATCTAGTATATTCTATTGTCAGCTTTTCAAAATAAAACAGTTATAACGACCAAGTATACTCAGTTTGAAAGCTGTGAACTATAGAATTAGAAAGTATCTTTTTCCTGAGTAAAATTAATTGTATAATATAGCAGTTAATTCTTTGAGAGTCTTTGTGGACAACACAGTCTGGGTACAATGTGAAGTCTACAGTTTTTCTCTCCTGATGACATTTTCTCCGAGGAATATCCAGTTATCAAATAATTTTGCTGTTTAGTCACATCTTGTTGGATCCACTGTAGATACCGGGTTTGGAATACCTTCCTACTGTTACTTTAACACACAACAGTATGTGATCGTCCATATGCACTGGAATACTATTCTCACACTGAGAAAGACGTAGAAGACTGTTTGAAAAAGCCAAGATTTATTTCTTCGTAGAAAACGCAGTATGATTAGAAATAATAGGTAATTATAGAACCATTCTACATAAGAAATAAATTAATAGTTTAAGATGTGCGAACTGTGCTCTTGCTGGGCAGCATTCACTAATAAAAATCCAACAACGTGACGTTTAGTGCGCGTTGATGTCAAAGGTACGGTTTGCGAATCAAGTGGCAGACTAACGATATGCATACTCCCATCCTAACACATTTGCAATAGCCTGTCAGTGGGGATTAATTTATTCTTAGAAGCATAAGTCTTCAGTATAAATAAACTTAACAACATGCTTTCTGGCTGAAATCAATCGGACAAGTATTACAGAGCCCGAGTGAATGAGAATTCGTGACACCAGCCACCAAGTCGAATGTATAAATAAGTACTGACTGAGGATAATAATGTAGACGTGAGTGTTCCGACCCACTACTTGAAGGAAGTACTATTGAGGTGAGCTTTAAATGTCCATTTCACGTTCAACAATACGCTCTATAGACAAAGACGTGGGGTGGCGATGAGATCGCAGTTTGTTCCTTCACTTACAGACTGCTTCTTGGCAAGTGTAGAGAATAATATGTTACAACCCACTATCGATAGTTTCCATATGTACCGAAGATATATGAATAATGCTTTCATCATATGTGACGAGAATACTAACTAAGGAGTTTAACAACTGCCATCATGCCATCCAGTTCACGTAAGAATTAGAGATTAACTCGGAATTCCATTTTTTGGGTGTTTTTCTAAAAAGAAGACCTGACGGTTCTCTTCAAAGATCAGTCTACAGAAAACCAACATGGAATGGTCAATACACGAATTTTCATAATCAGTTCCCTTTGAGAAGGAAGAGAAGTCTGATACACTCCTTGTCCTCAAGAATAAGAAGGATATGTACCAATGATACAGTCGATGGGGAACTGGAGCAACACAGACAAGTCCACATGGAAAACGGATATTCTTCAGGATTCATCGTGTAAAACATGAAGGTAAAGCAAAAGTCCGAAAGAACCCAGACAGTGCTGAAGAAACTGCCATTTATGAAGGTCTAATTTGAAGGTGATACAGATCACAGAGAAAAGCCTTGTTTTCGGATCAGTTTTTAACAGCCGATGAGTGATCAATGGATGTGTGAAGGATAAACTGCCGCTTTGGGCCTTTTTTATGTGTGTTTATAAATTCACTTGTTTCTGCGGAGCTAGTTACATTGGCTGCACACTTTCCCAACGCATCTCTGAACATTATCCGACATGGTTAGCAAAAAGACAATGAAAGACAGTTACTAGCTCAATTCTCGAGCACTTGGTGAACTCAAGTGGCGCAGCTCCACCAGAGTCGTCTTTCAAGATTATCTACAAGGTGAGACCAAATGGTAGAAAGGGCGTCAAGTTTCAGCATTCATGTATGACAAAGGCGTTGGCAAATAGTCAATACAACCCCGAACTCCGTATTCAGAAAAAGTTGGTCCAGTCCCCTATTCCACCATAGTCTTAACATCTTTACTAGTCGTTCCTTGTAAATTTTTTATTTTTAATGATTAATTTGCTTTTGCTTTAATACTTAATTCACTATTATCACTCTCACATGTTCCTTTCACATGTTTCCTCAAAATCTTCACACTTGTTAAATGGACACTCAACTTCCTTTCTTCTCACTCAATACCGTTGAGTATTACGTATTCTACAACTTTTATTTTTACATTTAAAGCCACTTCTAAGTAATCATATCAATTATTTCACCTTCTATTACTCAATAATAGACTACTATGCATTTTTGGTAAATATAAATGCGACTGTACGGCCTCTGAAGATGATTTTGTCGATAAAAAAGATTTTCTTCTCTGAACTGTCATTTATTTTTCAATGGTGTTGGATGGCGTTGAAATCTGCTTTGAAACTTACTACATTTCCACAAAGTGAGTCAGTGGCACAGAGCTAGAATGCTCGCCAACCACGCCTCATATGGTTCCGGGTTCGATCCCCGGCCGACTCACTCCTTTACCTCGCTAGCCCAGTAATAAGACTGGTGAAGACGGAAGTTTAGGCATGAGGCTAACAACCCCACCCAGTAAAAATAAACACCACTGCTACCGAAACTTCAAGCTAGCTCAAAATGATATTCATACAATTTACACTTGTAAACATAAGAGTGGCACCGGTTGAATGTCATTCAACATGACAAACTATTACTGTAGTTCAACGTATAAGGCTAAAACATATAACGTTTGAGAGGAATTTTCATTCATGCTGATACTTGTTGTAACAGTTCCACTGAGGAAACTGTTGGAACACTCCATGTGTATCCATTAGTAAGCATTTGATGTGTTTCGGTGAACTTACTGAAAATTTAACCGCTCTCGTCGTAGGATCCAGAGGGATTTTCGTCAATATTTCACTATTATTCCCTGTTTGATTAAACACATTGATTGACTCCACTGGTGAACCAAAGTAGAAAAATATCGACTGTGTTTCGCATTCTAATCCAGTCTCGTTGTTCATTTGAACTAAAGTTTGAATGTAGACCAGATATCTATGCAGGATTTAAAAGAAAATCAGTTACACCATGAATGACTTTGGGCAAAAGTGGAAAATTTAGGTTAGTGGTGGTGGCTAATGTAATAATATGCTGACTAATTTAACAAACATCACACAGCCTAGGGAATTAACAAGGAAATTTTAACGAAAGCATACAAAATTTCCACATGTGTTTCTTAGTTAACTTAGCTGTGAAATAATAGCGGGAAGATTGTTTGGAATTTACATGATACTTGTGTTTTACTAACAGATTTCATCATGTGAGCTTACTGTGAATGGAAAATGAACTGTTTATTGAGCAACTGAGAAGAGGCTTAGGCTCTAGTAAGTCTGAGATAAGATGAATTGCTTTCTCTCAGACTTAGTCGAAATCATGTTTATCTCACTTTTTAAGGGGAGCAACCACAAGGTCGCTTCTCTCTAAATTATAAATTGATGTAACAACCCCCCTTCTCAGGCGTGAGGCTAGCAACCCCACCCTGTAAACAAACCTGCTACAGAAACTTCAGCACGATGTATCTCCTTGAGACAAAAGAAAAAGTCTTTGTGGGGACATGGAATGTCCGTAACATAGATAAAACAGAGGTGATGAAAATTCCTGGGCAACACCACCAACTGCAACAACAACAACAACTGACAACAATCAGCATAAATGGGAGGAACCTGAAAGAAACAACCTCTTTTACCTACCTAACTTGGAAGCATCGTTTCAACTACAGGCGGACAGACCTGACGAGGATATGAAAGCAAGAATCGGAAAAGCAAGACAAGCTTTCACTACTCTCAAGTCTGTGTGGAGGTCAACAGCACTCAGCATGAAAAATAAGATCCGGATTTTCAACTCCAATGTGAAGTCAGTCAGTGCTACTATACAGATCAGAGACTTGCACTGCGCGTCATAAAGAGCATCTCAAACAAACTACACACCTTCATTAACAGTTGTCTTCGCTCACTACCACTCAAGATCGGATGGCCGGGAAGAAAAGATCAGCAACAGAGATCTCTGGCAATGAGCGAACCAACACAGCAGGAACCGATTGTGAAACAAATAGGCAGGAAGAAATGGAGATGGATTGGCCATACTCTTAGGAAACCATCAAGTGAGTGACATCACTAGACAAGCCACTGCTCGAGTGGAACCCGAAAGGGAACCGGCGAGTTGGTCGTCAGTGCAAGGGTGACTTGGAGGAGGTGATGTGAAGAGGAGATGAAGGCGTGTGGGCAGACATGGAGCCAGGTGAAGACTCTAGTAGAGAACCGAACGCAATGGAGACGTGTGGCTGAAGCCCTATGTTCCTCAAGGAATTAAAGGAAATAATAATAATAATGTTTATCTCACAAAGATCTAATATGACTTTTACTGTCAAAATACACAGCCACATTAATAAGTACCAATTGTGCAAACATATTCATTCAATGCTTAGTTCAGTCACAGATATTTCTATAAATGATACTATGCTAACGAACTGCAGTCTTTGATTAGACACTAGTAACGAGTGGGAAGTGTCTAGTCCTTTCTTTGGTGCAGACTGAATTCTATCAGTCAGCTTTGCAATGTGGCCACCAGTCTAGGCACCTCGCCATAACGTTGCACATTGAGTTGATGATATTAGATGGTTGGGAGCAATCGGCACGAAGCCTTGGACCTAGGTTTCACGCTAGTTGGCAGTCGTCAGCAAGGTGTATCTGCAAGCTTGAAGGAACTCATGTCCCTTCTGAGACTCAAACCCGCGTCATCCAGTGCTGCAGTCGGAGGCGTAACCACTGATCTATTGGGTTAACCATTTTAATTTGTAACGACCGAAAACAATTTTACTAGGAGTATGGTAGGTATGTAATTTAGATGTCGTCACTATCTAAAATCTTGATATTGATACTGAATATATTCAATGAGCCTTCATGGATTATACATCTACCTTTTATTCTGCACCTAGACCTCTTTTGTTGGACAAGCTTCCTGTGAGACAGGTCGAATGCTGGATTGAAAAATGGTTGTATTCTTATTTTTGTGATAGGCAGCAGTACACTCTATATAAAGGAAAGTCATCCAATGTTTAACTTTCTGTAACTGGTATCCCTCGAGGTGCTGTTCTTTACCCTTTTCTATTTCCTTTCTTCTTACATGACTTGCAACATTGTGTTATTTGTGACGATGATCTAACTGTTTCCATGCCCGTTACTTCCCGATCAGACTGTTCTAAAATGAACAACTTTTAATCAGAAATTAGTCAGTGGTCCTTGTCGAAAGGTCTCAAGCTAAATCCCCCGATATGTCAAAGTGATAATTTCACGTTCAGATACAAATGAGATTTACATGAACTGGTTCATTCCCATGATTCTTTTAATAAAAGGGCAATGGAGTTGAAACTAAGATCGATTGTTAAGTGTCTGGAGGCAAGTCTTTCTTCTGATCATTCTTCATCTTTCCACATCCTGTTGATTACTAGAAAGACATTTTCGATCTAACCTTCTGTGTAAGGAAGTATCACTCAGCCTTTTTATTATTTTATCCCTTTGGGTTCCCAATGGAACAGACAGTTTCAAGCTTTAAGCTTTGAAGTTTCAGTAGAAGTGGCTTCTATTTTTACCTGATAGGGTCGCTAACCCTCACGCTCAACACCTTCCCTCTTTACTTGGCTTCCTATCAACTCGGCAAAGTTTAGAAGTGCATCAGATACTCAGCCTCTACATTTTTGTTTACTTGTCATTACAATTACATTCTGCCTTACCATCTCGTAATTTCTCCCCCTTCATCTTTCCTTGGCACTAAAATGCTGTCGGTAGGGTGAGCCGTATGATCCTAAGCCAACTCTTTATTACTGATGTGGACAGACATTTCAACTCATGCAAAAAGTTGGTAAAATTCATCTAGTCGAACTTTCAGCACCCTCTTTATTCACAACTCTCTCCTTGCATCCTATCAAGAAGTAAATGAAACAATTATAAGACTTTATGTTCACATGACTCAATATAAAACTCTATTATACCTTATTTGGGACGTATTTTGTGTAATGAGAAAAGTGTTAGGCATAGATAGAACTATTGACTTAATGAGAAACAGTGAATCAACTGCTCTTTCGATTCTCCTTCTTCTCATCATCATTATTATTAATCTACGGTTACCGCCATTTTTTTTATTAACTTTTAGTGTTAATTTTATGTTGAATATTCTATTGATATTATTAATACTACAAATGTTCTGTTAGTGTAATGTAACGAGAAAATCAGGCACAATATTGTACTACATGCTGAAAATTCCACATTGTACCCAATGTGCTCTTTGCTATAAAGCCAATATTATTATTATTAATTATTATACGACATGGTACATGTAAATGGATAACTTTTGGAAGCAGGGTTGAAACGTTGTAATTGTAAAGTCGACTGCATACAATCTGTTGAATTAGAGTTTAAAACATTAGGTTTACAGGGCTATCGATTCAAAGAGATATCTCTAAGGAGAAAGACTTTGGTGTATCAGCAAACTTCAGACAGTATTCTAGAACTGTAATAAGTTCCAGTCACTGAAGGCGAACATTTACGAGCACATTAGTCGATTAATTAATACACTGACTGGTCACAGTTATGAGATGTTGGCATCATGGATGCCCAGCTGTCTTCATATCAAAATACATTATAATGCATCCTAAAACGTTCAAACAAACCTGTCTACACAATCCTGAAGTGTGTTCACTGAGAGTTGAGAAAGTGCAAACTGAATTATTGGTCTCTCAAAACCAGTTCTTTTGCACGTCACGTAGGACGTGTTGTATCTTGTAATAGTACTTGTATCTGTAAATGTACTTGTGAATTGTAAGGGCCATGTAGTACCGATTTCTGCACGTTGGCTATCACTCAGCTGAATGTTCACCGTTATGGAGAGAGTATTTCGTGTCAAAGGACCAAGAGCAGTAGCTGTGAAACAGTGTTGGAGATAATAATAATAATAGTGATAATTACAACAATAATGATAATAACAATAAGTCTTTAGTCAAAAGGTGTTCCACAGAAGACACTCAACCATTTCACACACATTATCTACTTTACTCCTCATAAATCATAGAAACACACTGAATCTGAAGTCTTCTGCTGAAATCCCTTTGGTTGATTCATGTTCGGAGAGTATTGTCAGTTGACTTAGCTGCTTCAGGTGGCCATATTGAAAATAATGATGGACTACAATCACCAGTACATGATAAACGGAAAATGAAAATCTTGCATTTTATCAGTAGTGTTCATCGAGGTAAATCCATCACAACAACAACAACTGGAAAAGCCCTACAAATGAGACAGTTTACCACAGCTAAAATGACTGAAATTTGATTTTTAAGAAAACTTACCACTGTTGATAACTTGGTCAAAATATACTGTCAGTTGATCTAGCTGGCCAGTTTTGTAACTTGACGAATAATTGAATGAGTAGGCACTGGTTGCATTAGCTAAATTGGAACCCACATTTACTTGGAATCCTTTCACCGTCAAGATAGCCTCGTTATTAAATGTATTTCCAGAACAATTGACATTCACAGTGAATTTCGTGTAGCTAGTATAGAGTGGAATTGCATATTTTATGGTGAAATTTCCTATTTCACCTGGTTGCAAGGTCATGTTAGTTGGAGTTAGTTCAATTGTCATCTGAAGGGAAAAAATATTCAGTTATTTAAAATTCAAGTACACAAGTTGAATGGTCTTCAAGATTTCAGAGTTTTGGGTAAATAAATGATTGAATGAATGAATTTTGCAGTATTCTGAGTAAAGTGTTCATGACTTCACCCTGACGATCGTTACAACCTGTTGTTAGACCACATGCAACTAACTTCTTAAAGACTCCGTTTAAATTTTCCATTAATGAAGCTGGTAGTGTAGTCGAAGTCTGTCTTTCGCAAACTGATTTATTGTCAGTTTAGTGTTTGGTAGTTTGGCTTTAAGGCATAGTACTAAAGTGAAGAAGGTGGATCATCAAT